AGAGAGAGAGAGAGAGAGAGAGAGAGAGAGAGAGAGAGAGAGAGAGAGAGAGAGAGAGAGAGAGAGAGAGAGAGCCACCCCACCCCCCACGTTCAAGTGTAGCATCTGGTCCGATCAGTTTCATATCTGATCAGTGGTCCATCGAGACCTTTAAAAGAAATAGCATGTGTTGCGTGAGAGAGAGAGAGAGGGGGGGGGAGAGAGACCCCAATCTAACTAACTACACGGCCTGCCCCTTCCCCCCCCCCACGATCACAGAATTGCGTATCTCCCAACATCTGAGAAAGAATATTTGTGGTGAGCGGGAGACAGGTACAGGTGAGTTCAAATCCGAACAACCACCTACCCAGCAAACCACAACGGAAAGGAATGCAAACTGTGATCAGGTCTCTGACAGGACAAAAAAGAAAAAAAAAACATATATTCAAGGCATACAAAGCAGCAGCAGCATTCCATCGGCAGTGTCAACAACAGTGCACAGGTGAGCCTAAAAAACACCCTGGCCCCACCCAAACCCACACACGGACCAACAACCCCCCACCCACCCTCATTTGCACCCTTTTCCCTTCATTTTTTTGCGGTCGAAGCCGCAACAGGTAACCTTGTTGTATAAAAAAAATAAAAGCAAAAATAATAATAATAATATATTAACTAGGCTATCAGCCGGGCCGCCCGGGTCACCCTATTTTCCCGGGCGGCCTGCCCGTGCAAGGACTAGGGAAGGTCCCAGCCAAAAAAAAAAAAAAAAAAAGAAATCCAAAAAATCCGGAAAAAAAACTATGTTATGCAGAAAAATAAACTAAACAACTTTTGCCTCAGGGTCACATCGAAATTCTTTACCGGATTTAAAATAAAATTTCGAATTAAAAAATAATTTTCATTTTTTTATTTTTTATTTCTTTTTGGCCCGGCCGGGCAAGTGGACCCGGGCCACTCTGGTAGCCTAGTATATTACTAATAAATAATTAAATAAATAAATATAATAATAATAAGAGTGCAAGGAAAATGATGAAGAGCGAAATGACAGAATTCCAACTTGCAACATCACATTGAAAGCCAGAGAGTCGTGAGCTGTCCAGAAAAAAAGCAGAAGGAGACCAAAGCAACAGACTGAGTTGTCAACGTCAGCCATTGTCTCGCCACCATCAACAATGCATTCAATGTCTTTTTTTCCCTCCTACTTGGCGCTCAGTGGACAGACTACGAGCGGAGCCCAAAGTATGTGCAGATGTTACCTCTGCACGACGAACCAGGTATGTCCTCTCTCTCGCCCTCTCTCTGCTCACCCTTGTCTTCTCCCCACGCTATGTCCTCCGCCCGCAGACCGGCGGCATACCCCGCTGGACCCCCCTAGGAGTGATTGTTCGGTCAACTCACTGTTAGGAGTACAACACAGCACTCTTCGTGGCGCCCTAACGAGCGAGCAAGGATGCAGCTCGGCTTGCTGTTACGAGAACACGGTCGCTTTTATGTGAACAAAGCCGCGGCTTGCCGTTAGAAGAACACAGTCGCTTTCACGCGAACAATGCCGTGACGAGAACACGGTCGCTTTTATGTGAACAAAGCGGAGTCAACACCTGACAAGGAGGTTGAAAATGAGAGGAAAAAAAAAAAGTGTGAAACTACTCCACCGGCGAGGAAGGTCTGTAAAACTCATTGATGAAAAAGTGAAAGGTGGGAGAAATGAGGAAAAGTCTGAAAACTTAAAACACGTGCTGTGTGCTGAGGTTCATGATTGGTTGCTGGTGATGACAGACATCTGCTATGGTTCTCTTTGTCATATGATGCGAAGTGCGTTCTCTTGTCGTTTCTTATTGCTTTTTCTTGTCCTGTGGACTCTGTTTGCTACTGTTATTCTATATCAGTCATCGGGTATCAGATCAATAATCTTCACACCAGATGGAAGGACGCTGTTAAGCGCTGCCCAGGATAGCCTCAAGGTCTGTCTTTGTTCCTTGGTTCCATTCTCGTTGTTGTTGTTGTTGTTGTTGTTGTTTCTTTTTCTTGTTCTCCATCTTCTACTGAACATCGCAGAATAGGCTTCTTGTTTTTGTTTCTTCTTCCTGTCTTCTTCTTTCTTCGTACTTTTTACTTTTTTGAAGTTTTCTTCCTTCTTCCTTCTCCCTTCTTTTTTGTTTTTTTGTTTTTTTTCTTTCTTCTTCTGTGTGTTCTCTTCTTGATTCTTTCTTCTTTTTTTCTCTTCTTCCTCTCCCGTCCTCTTTCATCCTCTTCTTTCTTCTTTCTTACTTCTTACTTCTTCTTTCTTCTTACTTCCTTCTTCTTTCTTCTTTCTGTTCCTCTTTTTTCTTTTGCCTATGGATGCAGACAAACTTGGCAAGCACTTTCAATTTTGGATAAGCTTCAATTTGGCCATTCTAAGAACGATGAAAGAAACTAATACCCGGCCAAAGATTACTGAAGACGTCGAACGAAGGGGGGGGTGAGGTCATTGTCCTTCGGGGCATCCGTTAAAAAATTGGAACGATACAGAAGAGGAGATTAGCATGGCCCCTGCTCAAGGATGACACACATAAGTCGACAGATGGTCCTCCTCCTTTTTTTTATTTAAAGAAAATTTTAGAAATAAAAAAGGGGGACGATCAAAATCATCATTGTTCGCTCTACCCTTGTGTTGTGCGCGCTCTTCGTTAGCTCCTCAGCTCCATCTGTGAAAAACTTTGTAGCGTCCTGTTGGCATGATCTGCATTATCAAAGCGAGTGAAAGCCAGCAAGCAGGTGAAAGTTGAAAGTCTGTAGAGCAGAAGGGGTATGGCTACAAGGAATTGGTTGTGATGAGTCGGGAGTCTGGCGTGTCGTGTTAGTTTGTCCTGACAAGGTTGACTCCCTGTGTGTGGGCTTCGACCAGACTGATAGACTAGATTCTTGTGGGCTTGTGTTTCTCTGCTATATCACTCTTTCATTTCTTTCGGCCACAGTGTTTACTGTCTCTGGCCTGTTACGCATCCGAGGGGAAAAGGCTTCGAAAAAGTCGAAACTGCTATTCAGTGTCTAGCTCGCCTCAATCTCAGATCCTCTGCCCTGCTGCTTGTGCGCTTGTCTAACGTAAAGGCACAGAAGGGACTGTGTGACGAGCTCCAGACTCGAGGCCATTGAAGTCGCAGGCTGTTGGTGCTTTGAACTGTAAACCACCTCCTCATGGTGTTCGTGTAAGGGCGTCTTTGTCCTCTGTGTGTGTGTGTGTGTGTGTGTGTGTGTGTGTGTGTGTGTGTGTGTGTGTGTGTGTGTGTGACACACACACACACACACACACACACACACACACACACACACACACACACACACACACACACACACACACACATACTTTTTCGTTGTGGATGGCTTGTGATGATTTGTGAAGGGAATGAGAGAGAGAATCTGGGGTCTTTTGAAACAACATATATTCCGGTCTTGCTAGCTCTCTGTCTTGGCAGATTTGAGCGGGTAGGATCGGGCTCGTACTAGCGAGCTATATCTCCTTTGTGGTTGGGTACGTCTTGTTGGTTTTGTTGATTATAAACGGCCTGATTCTTTGCCGTGCTTTAGAGCATGGGCTGTTTGGATGTTTACGGGCGGCCACGAGTTCTCTTTGAGGGGAATGTCTGTTTTGTGGACCGGTGTGGAAGGCTTTCCCAGTTTTTTACGACCCTTAGCAGGGGGGGTTCGGTGCGTTCTTGCTGGAGGAGTCGTCTGTCTTAGGTAAGTTGTCTCTTATCTTCTTCCTCCTCTTTGGCAGCGACGTGAGTGTGTAGTTTGAGATGAATGTCGGGACTGCCAATGCTGTTATATTTGTTTGTTTTTTGGTAAATGAGTTTCTAGTTTTGTGGGCCGATGAGGAAGGCTCTCGAAGTTCTTTCGGACCTTTGAGGGGGTCGGGTCGGTGCCTTCTTGCTGGAGTAGTCTTCTGTCTTAGGTAAGTTGCCTTCTGCCCTCCATCCCCTTATGGTTTGAAATATATATGTATACATATTTATATGTGCAAGCAAAGCGGCAGACGGGGTGTGTGGGCACTTGGCAGTGAACCACACGAACGTGGCCAACCTCGCATTTTCTATTATATTGCTTATCTAGACTTTATATATATGACGATATATATATATATATATATATATATTCAACTCCGGGTTTCACTCCAGCAGTTTCTGCTACGGAAGTTGCCTCCATTGCGGTCCCTGCTACGGAAGTTGCCTCTGCTGCGGTTCCTACCACAACAGTTGTCTCTGCTGCGGTTCCACTTTTTAACACTTCCTCTGCTTCTGTACCTCAAATTTCTCATGCTATAGTTTTTACTGGTATAGCTTCCTCTACCSCAGCCCGACACTCGCGTCCTATGTTCCGACATCTTGCCGAATCCACCCCCCTTTCATCCCTTTCTGTGCTTGGCCGCAGACGGCTGCGTTCCTCCTCGCCACCCCCATCTCCTCCACGGTCTCGTTTGAGAACCGATTCTCCG